ACAGATTTATGTTCACGTTTTTATCCTCTCAACCAGTAAATTCAAGTCTTTTTGTAGTATTATCTCACCAGTCATGAAGTGTATGGCTCCCTAAGTCTTAATGTTATTATTAAGGAGTAGAAAATATGACTTTGCGACAGTTAGCAGTTCATTTACATAAAGCATGAAAGAACAGGGCTAAGGATTGTACTTTGAGGAAATCCACTCTCCACAGATATCAATATGGATAAGGCCCCATTTACCGGTACATGTTGCCACTTATTACCAAAATAGTTACGCATCCAATTTCTAGTTCTATAGTGGATTCCAAAACTTTACAGTTTTAATTTAAGACCAATCTGAGAAAGTTTATCCTGGGCTTTACTTAGATCGGTGAAAATCACATATACCAGACAGTTAATATCTGCCGATGCAGTAAAATATTTCCCTGCAATAACATTTGTCAAGTATGAAAGACCCCCCTTCGAAACCATGTTACCCTCTTCACAAAAGTTTATCCCATTCCACATAGTTTGGAGTATACATTTTTTGGTGACTATATTGGTTAGATTAGCAGGGTGATCGCCGATAAATTTTTGTTCCTTCAACTTTAAACCGTATTCATAATTGAATCTTTTCAATCCCTTGACAACCTAGTCTACTTGAGAGATATATAAAACAGTACTGCCAGAGTTTCAGCAATAATATGCATCGGAGTTTCCATGATCCTAGGGTGAATATGATAAGGACCATTGAACTTATGTGGCTTCAGATGTCTAAGTGATCGTTCGATAACTTCCTTCTTACCTATCAGAGCATCCAACAATATAACTTTCTTGACCCTCATTGTTACGAGGTTCGAAAATAAAGGAACATTTATCTGTATTATTAGTTATGTATACAAGAATCCCTCTCATCCCCAAATCTATTTCCATCACCTCTTAGGCAGTTGTACTTGTATAGCTCTGTAGTGATACCGAAGTCATGGACTAACCAAGTTTCAGCCATGGATATGATGAGTGTCTTTGTAGTGGCGTTGTGCCCTAAACACATATTCCTCAATGATAACTGGACATTTAATATTTAACGCAGAAAAAAACTAACAACGGAGAAGGCGGGAGGGATGAATGGAATACATCGTATGGCGTCGCTCAACCTCATATACATTATCATGCTTATGCAAATTCTCTCTTTTACTCATATTAAACATATTAATCTATGTCTAGCCTAAATGTGTTTTTCGTGCCTGTAGGCAACCCTCGTGCTATTGATAGAAGAAACCAGACAAGTAGTAAATAGGTCTTTATTTAGATCTTCGCTCATTCACAGTGGAGCGTGGGATTGCCTGTTCAGACGAACAAAGCCTCTCAGCATTCAATATAAGATAATAGGTAATATAACGCCTATACAAAATAAAGAAGGGAATGAATAATTGAATTCTGTTGCTTTGACATATAATTAGTTGTTTGAAGTCAACTATTAACCAATCAACCTAAGCTTGTAGTGGCATTGGGCCCCAATACGAGACAACGTGCGAAATAGACAATCAGCATTTAACACGTAGGAAATCCTAACGATGAAAAGGGTGGAAAGAATGAATTAAATTAATTGGAGTTGATGGTATGGCATGGTTAGGCCATGTAGGCGCGGTGCTTGTTGAATGTTATCTTATATCTTTTATTCATATTAAATATATTGCTCTATCTCTAGCCTAAGCTTGTTCTCCATCATGTGTTGGTAGTTGTTACGATACAGTGAGTTGGTGTAGTCGATGGTGTGACTTCCACGTAAGATCTTATAGATTAGGCAGTCATATCATGACAAATCTCCAATTTTAGGAATAGGTCTATTATTAGAGTAGTACTGATGACGAAGTAGACCATAATTCAGCAGCTTCACTTAGTCGACTCACATTATTAGTTCATGAAATTTATTTCACATACTATGAGAGTTGGTGCACAAGACTCTTAAAGAGGATGACCTACCCATGCAAGTTTTGTTCGTATTCTCTTCCAAGACTTTGATATTCAGAGATCTGTAGAATTGTGGTCTACTATAATATAAGTGCTGCTCTAATAATAGACTTAATCCTAAATCTGTAAATTTGTCATGATATAACTGCCTAATCTATAAGATATTACGTGGAAGTCACACCATCGACTACACCAACTCACTGTATCGTATCAATTACCAATACATGATGTAGAACAAGGTTAGGCTAGAGAAAGAACAATATATTTAATATGAATAGAAGATATAAGGTAACATTCAGCAGAGACCACGCCTGCATGGCCGAGCGATGCCGTTCGATCAACTCTAGTCTGTTCAATTCATTATTCGCGCCTTCTCCATCGTTAGGTATTTCTTCGCGTTAAATATTGAATACCTATTTTCCGAGTAATCTCGTATTCAGCTTTGAGGATAGTGTGGTTATGGTCCAATGCCACTACACTACTCTCCCACCAGAATCAACGTGGTGTTGGTTCGATACCCAATTGAATGGGACTGTAGTGTGCCGAAGGTTAACAAGACTAGTAAGAATCCTCCGGGTGATGACAAGCTGAAAGATAAATCAAAAAGAAGACGGCAGCATCTGGTCGGGAAATACATGTAATAATTTTAAAATATCTGCCTTCATGCTTAACACGCTTACAATGAAAATTTGAGTGATTATTTGAGCTATAAAAAAATGGGATTACAATAATAATAATAGTAATAATAAAACGATGCGTGTGTAATAGCCGTTGGTTGATAACTTAACGTATAGGTAGTATGTATTTTGTGTTTAGAAATATTAAAGTTATGAATATTGTAGAAATGTTAATATTAGTACTACTTTTAGTCTAACTTATGAAATCAAATAACGATTATGCCGGTAAGTTGTCCATATGAGTCGATTTCCAATTGCATCTGTATTAGTAGGCTAACTGAAGGAACAAAAGTATTACCGTGGAGAAGAATTCCAACTAGTGTTCCAGTTAGTTTGATACGGTTTATTTAGTTACGGGGAGATTTTTCCAACCTCATTTTTACTTGACAGTGATAGAATTTAGTAATGCTACTAATACACATGAATGTTTATCAAAACAATTTAAATACGTGAGTGATGATGATATGAATTTTGGACAGATAGCTAGGAACGAATCGTTAAACATAAGTGTATTCGTAAGAGACATGCTCTAGACTCAATGTTCTGATCTGTGGCAGACTATTTATTTATATTCATAATTGCCGGCTGATTGGACATACAAGTTAGTTGCACGTATGCAGGCAGAACACGATTTAATTGAGATATAGTGGTTATAAGTTATTAAAATCAGCTAAGCCCATGTGTCATATTACTAAGTGATGTGATTCTGCAAGATGTATTTAGCTAAATAAGTTTTTACAAGATGATTAATAGTGCGTGATTCTTATGAGATTAACAGGGTGAACATAAGTTGTAATCAAAGGGAGTACACTCCCAACTCATGCCTATGATAATAGCTTGAACCTTAGTCAGTGTTGGGGTAAATTCGACATTGATGTTTTCAGCTTACAGGAGATTTGCTCGACTGCTTATACTGATTATTTGCATGCATGATTGTGTCGCTAGACCATCAATTAGACTGACAAGGTTTCGAGATATTTACTGAGTGAGCATCTGATAGAGAAACGTACTGTAATCATCTGTAGTGAATGAAGATAAAAGAAAAACAACACTAGTGATAATTATATGTCAATTTGCTGACCGATTTTGTTAATAGTTTCATTAATTTTATCAATCATATTACGTGATTGTCAATTCATGACAATGCTTTATGAAGATATCCTGAAACTATTATGTTTAACTAGTCATTGTGTTGAATGACGATTAGTCCGTGGAAAAATAGGTATTGTTGCTTTAGGTGATTCAAAATTATCAGAAATTTGTAATGTTACAGAATTCAAGACGCCTAATTTAATTATAAATTTCAATTCAGAAATATTCGTTTAGTGTTAATGCTAGTAGGCTACGGAGTTTTGATTTTAAACGTTTGTTTAGCCAACAGCTACCCAGGGATTTAGTTATTTTACTAGTGCAGTTGATATTTTCTAAATTTTTAATCTCATTATCTAAACTGTGTTCGCATTCGGGGCTGCTAATATGATAAACCAATCCATAAATCCAAATACGATTAGCAACGACGACTATGATGGGTTCATTAATAAATGTTAAAGGCGATCTAGATGATTTCTGAATTTAGAAGACATGGAGATATAGTGTAACGTATGTATGGGCCAGGTTAACATGCAGGTTGTTGACGTATATGACGATTTAAAAATAATGAACATGACCAGAAAATAATTTTAAAGTTTAGACTGCTTGTGAAACTTCAGGCAGGAATATGACGCGTTATAAACATTCCGTAAGAAGATAATGCATTTAGCCTAGGGACACTTACAAATATATGGCAAAAGCAACTGGAAAATATATACATGTTAAGTACAAAAAATCATTAAGTGAAATAGTTGAACTCGCCTGGATTATTTTTGAAAATTAGATTATTCAATGAACGACATATATAACACTATTCGTGAGGAGTAGTAATGATCCAAAAGTATCCAGAATAAAACATGCAGTATGGCAATTAATTCCGGGGTGCTTGATGCTGTTGATGTTTTTGCCACTCGCTCGGATCAGAACAACGGAATGAATTCAGATCATTGTGTGGTCTGTGGTGGACCAAACAGATATGAACACAAAAAATATAAACAAAGTTATTAAAAATCAATAGTAATATTAATACATATAATTAATTGTCACAAATACAATAAAAATTGGGGACGTTACTTAAATTGATCAGATGTTGCGTGTTATGATTAGGTCCAGTGAAGTAAATCCACAATTATAAATGTTTGTTGATTCTGAACAGGTTGGTGAACTCTCTAATGATATAATCCACGTTGGATGTGATATATTTCGGTTACAGTCTATAAATGGAGATAGAATTTGATTTAGACTTCGGATAGCTCGATCACAAATGGAAATAGAACGAGGAGTGTGCGAGAAGCATTGTATTTGTTAGCCCGCAGCGATATGTCACGCAATGTAGTAGTACAACGGAAAGTGTGTTCAAGGTCATTTACTAAAACAACAGTTACAGTCATTTAATGTTAAATATACATACAGTGTAAGGTTGACAAAGTAAATAACATTGAAAACTATTTACAAAATAAGCTTGTCGGGTCCATCTCCACATAGCTCCCCCAGAGTGTCCGGAGGTAACACTGGTTATAATAGAAAAAATGTAAGGGTATGATATATACATGTATACAAAAATAATATTTACAGTTATAACCAAAAAAAATGTGGAGATGAGTATGACATGTAGTAGAGATGTAGCATAGCATAATAGGCACACACACACAAAAAAATGAAGACACTGTCATTTAACGCCTTGGTTGGCTGACAATGATAATAATAATATGCAAAAGTGCTAAAGACCCAAAAAAATTGAACTGTTTATGTTTGTGTACGATAAATGAATAACTAAACAGAGTTTACTCGTTTATTATTGTAAGAAAAAAATTTTTTTTTAAAAAAACTGACAAAACGAGTAATTGTGGAAAAATGTGATTAGTTATGTACACTGTGAAAAAAATTTATAAATTTTGTTGGAAAAAATCGGATGAATTTAGTAGTATGGTACATCGATAATTGCTTGTTTCTATTTCTTTTTTATTCGGCGAAATGTACATAGCGTTTGGGTTTTTTTACAGCTCTGCCTGAACGCGTTAAACAAGTAGGTTTGTTACTCGATTTTTCTTCCATGTCTGCTGTAGTGATGGTTGTTGGACGGGGTTGATTCAGTGAATTAGTATGTTCTTTGTCGTGCTGTGTGTCGTAGAATGCAGGCTTTATTCTATCGATAGCGATAGTCTCTTTCTTTCCACACTTGTTGATTATGAAGTGTTTGTTCGTTCTTTTAATTACTTGATATGGTCCCTCATAAGGTTGTTTCAATGGCTTTTTAACTGCATCAACTCGAACGAAGACAAACTTGCATGTTTCTAGGTTTTTGTCGAGTTGTATTCGATTGTTATGTTCACGAGGCGGTATAGCTTTGATTCGTTTCATGGTTTGCAGCAGTTGGCTAGCAAAATGACTTGGATCTGTTGGTGTTAAAGTGTTTGGGTCTACTAGTTGACCTGGTAATGTAAGGGTTGTACCATAAACTAGCTCGGCGGCTGTACAACCTATATCTTCCTTTATAGTTGAACGTATTCCCAGGAGTACGAGTGGTAATGCGTCACTCCATTTGGTTGTATCATCTTGTGCCATCAGCGAGCTTTTTAATTGGCGGTGAAATCTTTCGACCAAACCATTAGCTGCTGGGTGGTAAGCTGTGGTTTTAATGTGGTTGACGCCTAGAAGTTTAGTGAACTCCTGAAAAAGGACAGATTGAAATTGGGGACCACGATCTGTTGTGATTGTTGCCGGCACTCCATAGTTAGATATCCAGCGATCGAGGAAGACTGAAGCGACTGTTTCTGCCGAAGTGTCTTTTATAGGGCAGGCTATGGCCCATCTTGTAAATCTGTCTACTGCGGTGAGAATGTGGGTAAAGGAATTGGACGGAGGCAGTGGCCCAACTAAATCCAAATGAATATGTTGAAAACGTTTGTCGGGAATAGGAAATTCGCCGATCGGGCTGATAGTATGTTTTTGTATTTTGCTGCGTTGACACTGGAGGCAGCTACGTGTCCAACGCTTAACGTCCGAGTTGATTTTCGGCCACACAAAACGTTCAGTGATGAGCCTTGTTGTTGCTCTGATGCCTGGATGTGAAAGACCGTGTAAGTGCTGGAATATTTTTCGTCTGCAGGCATGTGGGACAAACGGACGATTGTTGCCTGTTGAGGTGTCACACATGATGAATGCATCTGAAAGAGGAATTGGTACAGGTTTGAGATTTAAGCTAGACTTTTCTTTGCAGACTTTCAATTCTGCATCGTCTACTTGAAGTTTAGCCAAAGTTTCAAGGCTGATGTCCTGATTGTGTACCATCATATTGATATCCCTCCTAGGTAGTGCATCAGCGACAATGTTTGAGTGACCTTTGATAAACCTGATGTCTGTAGTAAATTGGGAGATATAATCAAGTTGTCTTGCTTCTCGTGGCGAGTGTTTGTCATACGATGTGCCAAAAGAATGGCAAAGGGGTTTATGATCCGTCATAATGATGAAATCGCGACCCTGTAACAGAAAACTGAAATGTTTTACCGCTAAATACATAGCCAAGAGTTCGCGTCCAAAAGTGCTATAACGTTCTTGTGTTGGTGATAATCTCTTGGAGAAAAAGGCGATGGGGGTAATCGTGTTGTTTACCCGCTGTTGTAATACTGCCCCGACGGCTTTTTGTGAAGCATCCGTACATAGGATCAAATGAGTTGTGGGGTCAGTATTGAGGTGTTGTAACATGGTGGCGTTGGCTATCAAGGACTTTGCTTTTTCGAATGCCATTTTGGCGTCAGGCGGTAGCTTGAATGCCTGATTCTTTTCCTTCCTCGTACCTTTTTTGTCACTTTTCAGTAAATCAGTTAACGGCTGTAGCACATCCGCACAACATGGTAGAAATCGGCGGTAGAAATTGCACGTCCCGAGAAAACGGCGTAATGACTTTATGGAAGTTGGTTCAGGGTAATTGGTAATAGCTTCAACCTTTTCTGGGAGTGGTTTGATGCCTTGAGAGTCAATGTAATGTCCTAAAAACTCTAAGACTGGGACGGCGAATATACATTTAGAAGGATTGATAACAACACCATGTTGCTTAAAACGTTCAAAGAGGATCTGAACATGCTGGACATGCTCTTCTATTGATGAGCTTGCGATCAAAACGTCGTCTATGTAGGCGAAGACGAAGTCTAAACCTCTTGTGACCTCATCCATGAATCGTTGGAATGTCTGGGCTGCATTTTTCAATCCGAATGGCATTCTTAGAAACTCAAACAGACCAAAGGGTGTGATGATGGCTGTTTTCTCGATGTCTTCTGGTGCCATCGGAATTTGATGGTATGCACGCACGAGGTCGAGTTTCGAGAAAATACATTTACCATGTAAGTTTAACGAGAAGTCATGTATATGTGGGATAGGATACCTATCAGGGATGGTTTGATTATTCAGACGGCGGTAGTCGCCACACGGACGCCAATCCTGGTCTTTCTTTGGTATCATGTGCAACGGCGAGGCCCAAGGACTATTAGATGGTCTGATGATACCAAGTTGCATCATGTGTTCAAATTCTCTCTTAGCTGTCTGCAACTTTGTTGGTGGTAATCTCCTCGCCCTGGCGCGAATGGGTGGTCCGGTGGTAGTGATATGGTGTTGCACCAGCTGTGGATTACCTTCCGTTTGGTAATCTGATTTTGTAATGCACTGGTATTCTGTTAGAATATCGTTGAAAATGTTGTTCACAGGTTTCATTATTCGAACACCATGGATTTCGTTGTCGTTGGAGAGTGTACCATTTACCTGTAAACGTGTGTTTACATCGATTAGTCTCTTGTTGGTCATATCTACTAACAGGTTGTGCGCACTAAGAAAATCAGCCCCGAGGATGGGTCGTTTGACTTGAGCAACTATGAATACCCATGTGAATCTTCTGCGTAGCCCGAGGTCTAATATAAGGGATTGCTCTCCGTAAGTTTTGATAACTGATTCGTTAGCCGCTATTAGAGACAGTTTAGTGCTTGTTGTCTGTTGTCTGCGGGAGAGATGGAGTGGGATGATGCTGATTTCTGCTACAGTATCGACTAAAAAGTCCGAGCCAGAAATGCGATCCCTGACGTGAAATAGGCGGCTAACATGTTGGCCAGTAACAGCTGCCGCCATTACTGTCTGGCCACTTCGTCTCCCTGAGAGTTTGGGTTGTTTGTCTTAAAGTTGCACGGTTTGGTGCAACGGCGTGCTTTCTCACCATAATTCGAATGATACCAAAAAATTCCGGCTGCTCGTTTGGGTGACCTAACACGATGTCTGGATACTGATCTTCTTCTGGATGTAGATCTGGCAGGTCGAGAATGGATGGTGGAAATAGTCGCCTGCAGTGCTGCTAGCTGCTGTGTTAACTGTGTTATTTGTTGTTGGATGCTGTTAGATGGGCTAATCATGTCTCTACTAGAGGTTTGTAGTACATTCAAACGCTGGCTGTCAGGATAAATCTCCATCATTTTGTCAGCCATATCAGCTAGATCGTCGAGATTGACGGAAGTTCCTGATACGCTGAGAATTTGAGTGACGTTCTGTGGTAAATGTTGAAACCACATCTGTTTAAGCAATGCATCGTCTACCTTATATGACCCTGCTAAGTGTTTCATATGTCGGAGTAATTGCGAGGGTCTCTTGTCCCCCAATTCGCAAGACGTTAGCAATTGCTGCAGTCTTCTCTCGTCTGAAACTGAGGTGCGTTGGATTACGGCTGTCTTTATTTTATCATACGGTTCAGCTTCTGGCACGTGATCGATTAAATCTCCGACTTCCGCAGCAATCTCAATATGGAGTGCCCCAACTACATAAGCATACTTTGTTGCCTCAGATTTCATACCTCTAGCCATGAACAAAGCTTCGATTTGTGCAAACCAGATTCTTGGATTATTAACGCCGAACGTTGGTAGTCTTAAGTCTGAAATTGCGTTGATCGAGGTTAAGGCATTATATTCTGATTGTGAAGAGTTCAAGGAGTTGATCAGTGGACTATCTATATCAATGAGTTTACCAGGAGAGTTCATGATGGCAAAAACAAAAATAAATGAACTAGCGTGCCGAGTAATAAAAAAATGAATATATATATAAACAGTTAACGTCTATAATGAATTCAAGGCTCACCAAATAATTGTGGTGGACCAAACAGATATGAACACAAAAAATATAAACAAAGTTATTAAAAATCAATAGTAATATTAATACATATAATTAATTGTCACAAATACAATAAAAATTGGGGACGTTACTTAAATTGATCAGATGTTGCGTGTTATGATTAGGTCCAGTGAAGTAAATCCACAATTATAAATGTTTGTTGATTCTGAACAGGTTGGTGAACTCTTTAATGATATAATCCACGTTGGATGTGATATATTTCGGTTACAGTCTATAAATGGAGATAGAATTTGATTTAGACTTCGGATAGCTCGATCACAAATGGAAATAGAACGAGGAGTGTGCGAGAAGCATTGTATTTGTTAGCCCGCAGCGATATGTCACGCAATGTAGTAGTACAACGGAAAGTGTGTTCAAGGTCATTTACTAAAACAACAGTTACAGTCATTTAATGTTAAATATACATACAGTGTAAGGTTGACAAAGTAAATAACATTGAAAACTATTTACAAAATAAGCTTGTCGGGTCTATCTCCACAGGTCGCCATTGAACGAGCCATCTAAAATGACCTTATGACTGCAGGAAACTTATGGCTGAAACTCACCGTATGTTTTTAGAGAAGTGTCATCCTTGTTGTTTGACAATGGAACTCGAGAATATGAAATTAGGCAGGCAGTGGTCGGAAGAAAAGATTTTACAGGATAGTGCATAGTTTAAAACAGGATGAGATGTTAAGCGAAGGAACACTAAGAATTAGATCCAGATAACTATTCAATCCTTGATTGCATTGTTAGTCAATGTATATTTACGCTATTTACAGGCCATATTTGCTAGAGCTTGATGTTTAAATAAGTCTATGTCTCTGAAGCAGGTAAATGCTATTAAAGCTTGTTAACGAACCATCAAAGCTAATTAGTTGACATAGATGATCAACTTTTATTATCGATTGAGCTAGTAAGTTATGTGAACTAATAGATATAACATTACGATAATATATGTGACCATTAATCAAAGGACTATTAGAATACTGGGTTTACAAAAAATAAAAACCGATTGAGAAGGTTAAGGTGGAAATAAGGATTAACAGTAATAGGTTACATTGCTTTAGTTGGGCTCACCAATGTAGAATTTATGGTCTATTATGATATTAGTACTGCTCTAATAATAGACTTAATCCTAAATCTGTAAATTTGTCATGATATAACTGCCTAATCTATAAGATATTACGTGGAAGTCACACCATCGACTACACCAACTCACTGTATCGTATCAATTACCAATACATGATGTAGAACAAGGTTAGGCTAGAGAAAGAACAATATATTTAATATGAATAGAAGATATAAGGTAACATTCAGCAGAGACCACGCCTGCATGGCCGAGCGATGCCGTTCGATCAACTCTAGTCTGTTCAATTCATTATTCGCGCCTTCTCCATCGTTAGGTATTTCTTCGCGTTAAATATTGAATACCTATTTTCCGAGTAATCTCGTATTCAGCTTTGAGGATTGTGTGGTTATAGTACAATGCCACTACAGATCCACCAGAAGAGGGTTTTCTTCACCATTCTTTTGACAGATTTCTAGTTCACATAGGACTTTTATCTATCCTTCAGAGACATTAGGTTCAACACGAGTGTCATTATGGTAGTGCTTTCGACCACTCGTTAACAACATCTCTATTCATTCCTCTGACCCTAGGATCACCTTCAAGAGCTTACGTGGTTAGGGACCAATATTTCCCTTAGTCCTCTTGAACATCCGTAACAGTTTTACGGTCCGAACTCCCGTAGAATGTCTAGGTAACATATTGCCAATAAATGTTTCAACCTTCCCTAAGTCCTACTTAAGTCTAAATGCTGGATCAACGTCTTTTGAATTTCACACGGATGTTCGGTGAAACTAAATTTGTTTCCTACCAAAGGGTTAAGGATAGTGTTAACTCGGAAATTTGAAGGAATATTCTGTGACTCAGAACGGGAACATACCAAAGGTTCGTGAGCCAACCACTTACTGTTAGTGGAAGTGGTTTTTTTCCAAACTGCTGTATATTTCCTTTCACCCAAGACACTCACATCAAATGTAATTGTAACGGTTTTCTAGATCTTCAAATACGGCTTTAGACTCATGTAAACCTACATGCAGTGATGTGTTAATCTTTATTTGTCTTGTAGATTTTACTTATTCAGACTTCTCAGTTGACTATTTAGTTTCTCGTTTATCTGAGCATACAGAACTGGAAGAATTTTCTGCCAGTGCCCTAATCGTCAGCTCAGTTATCATCAACTTTCTTACGGACTAACGTCAGAGAGCACATCGCCTCCTGGGCCAGTAAAGTCCTGCTGCAACAACAGCAGATTCAGAGGTAATGGAAGTTAGGCTGTGGACACCCCATATTCTGTAGGTTTCAAACGTTTGCATATCTTATGAAACCACTTGTTGTACCAATCACACTGCGTTTTTTTTATAATAAAGAAACACTCAGGCTGTTTGAATTCATGAGAATAACCAACCACTGCAAAAAGAGCTGTACGAAATTTGTTGCGTATATATATATATATAACCTAAGACAATGGAACAGTATAGAATCTACTAGATTGAAAAACCCGACAAAAACACACAAAATCCTAGTAGGTGCAAATATTGGTTAAAAATCAAGAGGTGCATCACAAAATGATTTGTAATCGCCTGATAACTGAATCCGAAATGAGTCAAGCTATCGCTGACCAAACAACCACGTTTTTTATAAACACGGGTTTGGTTGCACAAAATTATTACTCAGACACATTAAAACTTACAAATGAACAAAATGAAGGTGATATTTCTTCTGCTTAACAGCTCTGTAGTAAGATGACTAGTTTTGTTTAACCTATCTGTTTTTATTATTTAGGACGACTCCATTTTGGTTGGCTCGTTGAAGTCTGTCTATTCTGTTATCCGTTTACCAACGCTGGATCCCAATATCTCAGAATATCCGGAGAAGTTTTTGAATTTTCCACATGCAGTTGGCTTTCCTTCCAAAACTCCAATGAACAGGATGCCTTCTGCGGTTGCGAGTGGTGGGTCTCAGCCTCTCCATATGCAACCAGTTCACTCAGGCCCGGTGATATCAAGTTCTCTAAATTTGCCGAACACCCTCCCACCTGGTATGAAACTTTTGGTTAAGAAATAATTATTCAGGAATGCTCCATTCGGGTCATGGGATCCAGATGTCTGGTCCTCATGACCGTGAGCCTGCTACACCAGCTTCAGGTTCTGGACCAATACCAGGCCATTATTTCTCCACACTTGGTATGAATCCTGGTTCCCCTCATCCTATCCCAAATATGGTCCCACATGGTCATCCTAGCCAGTTCCATCACCATCCACTACTATCATTGTGAGTCTATAATATTTTAACTGTCTTAAAAGCGTATCTAATCGTTTTGAATATTTTTTCAAACAGTCGTTGACCTATCACCTAGTACGACAATAAGTTTGAACCCAATTTTTTTTTACACGGTTAGGGTCTCGGGCATTTTCTGCGTTTTGGTTACGTGTCGACACAACTACACAGTTTATCTTGTCCGTCTTTTTCTTATCATTTATTATGTATCATGGTCGAACCCATCAAGTCCTCGTCCTCATGCACAGCTTGGTAGTATCTTCACTGAATTTAGGGCGCTAAATCTCAAAAATCTATGTCGACTAGCAGTCCCGATTTGTTTCTATTCACGTGTGGCTGGGGCGTGGTTCACTTTTACTCTAGTACCTACAACTCCGATTGTTCAGCACAAATGATGTCATTTATGATTGTGTCTGAACAAGCGAGAAATAGTCGACAATCTTTCACGTGTGCCTTCTTTGGGTTTTTCCGTTTGATTTAAAGTTGTACACTGGTATCCCATCGTTCAACCACACTGATTTAAAAGTAAATGCTTGTAAATCTTAAAAAGTTAGGGTTTCTAGTAACGACATGGAATGGTTTTCTGTCGTCCCATATCATAGTATTCTTATAGCTGGCGCAATAGGTTTCTCCAACAATGTGCTGCAAACTTACCCAGCTGTAGTTCTGATATCCAGTCGTCATAGGCCTCGAATTATTCCTCTTCATTGACGAATCATAAACGGTGGGGTAACTTTATTCATCCTTACGTTACTAATCAAAATGTTGCATATCTTTCGCGTTGATGATAATCAAGGGAATGAATATTGCATATGACATTAATCAACCAACGTGTTCCATATAGCGTGATACTGACCTGAAATAAGCATTCTTTAATGGCGTTCGGTATACGTTTCAGCTCTTCTAGTACCTGTGTCACGCACGTGATGCCTTCCTGTCTATAAATATTTTCCACAATTTACCATATAAAGTCCCCATGACATTCGTTTAATAATTGAAGTGTTCGTAAGTCAGGTAATGTCCGACACTAAACCCAAGTTCTTGTTGGGTCAGATGGGTTGCTTCTTATACTAGTATTCTGTACCGTTACTCCTCGGCTTGCTCAGTAAATGGTGCTGTTGTGTAGGTTTTCACAAAACCACGGGTTCTTTGAGGGATTATAGCACTATTTACTGATGTGTAATGTTTTGCTCTAGTGAAATATGACCTTAGTATCCTGGTCATAAAGTATATGACATTCAATCACCTGAGTTCAGGAGGCTCATGTAACCCAGGAGATGCATATGGGAAGTTCTACTATTCATAGAAGTCTTCAATAAACCTTTAATCCTTAGTGTCAGTAGTAACTAAACAACGGGAAGGTGACAGCTTTCAACATTGCACATTATATTTGCGGTTTAGGCGAAGTTAGTTAATTTTCGTCAGTGCTAGTACCTATCAAACATCATCATTAGTAAATAATATATTCAATAACCCTGTCATTAACTTCTAATCAGGCATCAGTTCCAACTGGACAGTTCGTGCTTTGAGCTAATATCTTTGCAGCTCCGACCTCAATAATGAATAAAAATATTAATATTCCCTCCCCCCATTGACTAGAGGGAGAGGTCCGGTTTCTTAATGGGGGCTTTGTTGGTAAGGTTTCTAATTGAACTAAAAATACATTTTAAGTTAATTGGTTACATATTAGATACA